AAATATTTCCTTTCTTTTCAAATATTTTATGTTTTTCATATTAATTTCATTAATTATGCGAAACAGTTTATCATCCTATCATTTATTTTGCATTACTTTGTGCCACCCATTTTTTGTTTATTTGCTTGTCTGTCAATTTTTGCATGTTTAAAAGGTAGAGGATGTGACCTTTATATGACCTTTGTCTATTCTAATTAAAATATCTGACAATTTCTTGGCATTTCTTCATTGCAATTAATATATTATCTTATTTAAATAAAATTTTTAACATTTCCTTTGCAAAATATTGAAACACAATTTTAAAAAGACAAATTGCAAAAAGTTGTGTTTATTATTTTATTTTCAGACAGACAGACAGACACACACACAGACATATACTTAATACATTATCAATTGTAATGAATACAATAATGAGAAGCTGTCAGCAATGATTTTCAAATGAATTTCATCAATTTTGATAGCATTAACCCTTGAAATAATGGTAATTATAACGATCGAATAATTAAAAAACCGCACATACAACATTTGAGATGCAATTTATATACATGGCTTATTGCGGCAAATTTACATTAACCCTTGTACTAAGCTCATGCATAATGCAACTACTACTAAGTAATCGATCATTACCCGTAATCCTGAAAATAATGGGATTACAAACTGAAAATATGAAGTTGAATTTCATGAAGTATAGAGACTACTGCAGAACGTATGAATATTTTCAAGTACTCAATGATAGTATTAGATAATGAGTAGTGATGGTGAAGGAAATGAAAGGCGGAAAAAAAATGAAATAGTTTTTGATAATTGTAACTTTTACCTGAACTTTATACAGAAAAGAAAAAAATGATTTTTACAACAGATACCGATTTCTGTGACTGATTTCGAAACAGACGTTAAGTTAATCGTATCTTAAAGAAACGGCTGGCCATTTCAACATATGCTATCGATGATTTATGTTTTATATTGTGACTAACATCATAATGTGCACTGATCAAATGCCCAATCAGTAGATCAATTTTCTCTTTGTTACAATCTTATTTTGCCCTTTGACTCTCAATAGTTTTAGTTCTCAAGAGAGATGGAGTGAGAGAGAGAGAGATTTCTTCAGCAATGATAATAATTATTCTGCTGCAAAAAAAAAAGGAAGAATGATGAAATTTCACTAATTAACAGTAATAGGATTCAAAATGTTATTCCTTTTTTAAATATGTTAATTTTGCAGCAGAATAATTATTATCATTGCTGAAGAGAAATAAATTTCTTTGCATATAATTTCTTAAATATTCAAATATTCTTTTAATATTCAAATATATTTTGAATATTCAAATTCAATAGACATCACATTATAAACATATAAAAGGCGAAGAAAGAATTCAATTAATCAGTTTATGATTGTTTTAACTCCGATACTACTGACTATAACCATAACGGTAAGGGTGACGATTCTCTAGTGGGGAAAGGGAAATAAATGGGATTATGGGTACTTTGGGATTTGGTTGGATTGATAGTCATCGGGGTTTGGTTGGATTGAGGATTATGGCTATATCGGGGCTTGGTTGGAATGTGGGTTATGGCAATAATAATCCAATAATATTCCTTAATATTTGAGGCGGCTGTTGTCAGATAAACAAGAGACGTTGTTCAACATGCCGCGGTACTGGAACAAGATATGAAGTAAGGAGTATTCTTAGCAGCAAATCATATTTTTAATGAAAATTTCAGCAAAAATTTTTTCTCATTTTTCTACAGATAACATTTTACTCTTTCTCTTCTCTCCCCAAATTTCCAATATTTGAGTAAAAAATAATTCCCGCTTCAGATTATAACGGGAGAACCGAAAACCCTGATGAAACCGCTGCATGATCATTTAAAGGAGCTGCAGCGTACTGATACCAAGGATTTGGATTACTAATACAAGGAGCTCCCACTGGGAAATCGGGCCTTCGCACTACGAATGCTTTTCCTAGAGGAAAAGAAGATGAAAGAAATGGAGAAGAAACTGCGCGAGGGAAGAATGAAACGGCGCAAATTTAGCAAATGATTTTGAATTTCATCAGATGATTGAATTCGTTAATTGAATTTAGGAACAATTTGATTACTAACAGTAGTAGCAGCTAATTACACTTGAAGACGGAAATGAATACGGAAGCAATGAAAGCGGAATTATTTCCTTATGTAATTAATATGATAAATGATATAATACTGGATGTGTTGCACAAAAAAATAAAAATGAATCAAAAGTAGCACATATCGCTGTTTTCGCTCTTTCTCTCACATTTCTTACGGAATGGATGAAAATGATAATAAGGGTTGTCGTATGGCATCATCGATCCCAACGGAATCTGCTTACTCATTGAGCAAGTCGGATTTACCGGAATTAAAGCAAAATATTTTGAAATCAGATTTCAAACCGGTGCAGGATCCGTTATCAGCAGCATTAAAACTAAGGAAAAAACGGAACAGTTTATTCGTTGATTATCATTCATGGCATATTAGCATAATTGATATTAGTAGTTTGGATTCTTTATGATATGCTTGCGAAAGTATCAATTATGATAAAATTGACGGTTTCCGACATTTCGTACTTTTTCCGTGCATTAGATATGCAATCTTCACTATCTGTGCATTTGCTATTAATATGTGAGATATGCTGCTAAGATAGTTTGCAATGTTTGCTGCTAAGATAATTTGTAATTTTGTAGTTGCTAAATAGGCGAAGCTTTTGCTATCGCTGACTTATGACTGGAAAATAAGGCTTAATCTTCATTCTCTCACCCTATTTACGATAGATATGTCAACCAAGTTCATTTACTTCCTGCCTCATTTGTATTATTTTATATTGTTAGAAGGGTTGATAGAATAGCGAGAAAACAAAGCAGTGTAAGTGGAAAAATTGACCGTTAGGCGCAAACGTCCAAGCAGATTCCAATGGAACGGATGATGCCATACGACTACTTCCCGTATTATCATTTTCATCCATTCCGTAAGAAGTCTAAATGTGAGAGAAAGAGCGAAAACAGCGATATGTGCTACTTTCGATTCAATTTTATTTTTTGTACAACACATCCAGTATTATCATTTATCATATTAATTACATCAGGGAATAATTCCGATTTCATTGCTTCCGTATTCATTTCCGTCTTCAAGTGTAATTAGCTGTTAGTAATCAAATTGTTCCTAAATTCAATTAACGAATTCAATCATCTGATGAAATTCAATTAGAAATCAT